AATCCATTTAGAGTCTTGGTTTAATGTTTCCAAGGGAAACTGGGGAGATCTCAGGCAACTTCCTAGCTTCTCTCCATCATTTTGGCTCTACCCCCAAACACTGCAGATGCTGTGCTCAAAGGAATATAAATTTTGATCACTGAAACCTCATAAGATATCTGGGGGTTTACAGGCTCAGTAAACATTTAGAGGCAAAAAGAACCCTTTCAGAATGCAGGAAGGACTTGAGATGGAAACCGTTTGTCCCACCCTCAATCTCTTTTGCCATTTGTTAGAACCCATTCCATCAGGACCAGGGATGTATTGGAAATTTTTCATTGGACTGGATCTCAGGGCAAAGGCTAGCCTGAAAAGAGGACCTGTAAAGAAGCAGGCAAATATTGAGAGAACAAATAGAAGCTGCTTTAGAAACCTTTCAAGTCTTTTTCATCAGTGGGCAGCCAGGCCAAACACCTCTGGTATAGTCAGAGTCAATGGGGTGCTAATGGCCCTTGGAAATCAAGATTTGCTGATATAGAGTGGCTATCATTTCCTAGGGTAGGTTAATGTCCAGTTGTCCCTATCCAACAAACTCAGTTATTGCTAAGGGAAGAGAAGACAATCAGACCTCACATACTCAGTCAAATTGTTTGGCACTTAAAACATCCCATAATCTGGTTGAAATTCAGCCTGTCTTTCCTCTCACACTAGACTGCTTGATATTCCCCTTACAGGAGATACCATCTCTTGCCTTTGTTTATTTGCACAGGCTGTCCTATTATTCTTGGAATGCTTTCCCACCTCTCTGTCTCTTGGGCCTCCTAATACCCTTAAGACCCAGCCTTCAAGAGGTCTTTCCTAATTCTCTCAGTTGTTAGCTTCACGCAGTCACTTTCTACAAAATCTCCCACTGCATCCTGGGACATTGCCAGTTGTTTTGACTTATGTCTTGCCATCAGACTCTGATGACTCTGGAAGAGTGAGGCTGATGACTTTGCACAGCCCTCCTTTACTTAAATCCAATTCACTCTCAAGTCAAGACATTAACCCCATGATGTCATTGATCCTCTTCAAGAGCAAACAACAAACAACAATAACAACAACAACAATTTCTATTGATTCCATTTCTATCTTGTCTATATTGTGAACAAATTGTATCCCACTGTGACCTGCTTCAAGAGAAAATTAACTTTAGGACAAAGACTCTCAATTTTGTGTTTCCAGAGTCTTGCACAGCTCCTGGAAGATGAGACGTACTAAATAAATGCTTACAGAAAGTTTGAATAATAAAACCATCAAAAATGACACTTGAGATACAATAGTAATTCTAGCCAACTTCTAACATAAATTATTAATCTAAGGAGTACTTACTTGTTTTTAAGAAATTTCTAGTACTACCAAATGGAAGTTCTGGAAGACTTACTAATAATACCTAGCATTTATATGGTGCTTCAAGGTTTGCAAAGCATTTTATAAAGGTTATTCCCCTTGATTTTTGCAGCAACCTTATGAGGCAGGTGCTATGTTACTCTCATTTTACAGATGAGGAAACTGGGGCCAAGAAAATTAAGTGAGTTGCTCAAGTTAATACAGTTAACAAGTGTCTGAGACAGAATTAAATCCGATCTTCCCTAATTTTAAGATCACCTCTCTATAATATGGCACCTAGTTGCCTTGATTAAAAAAAAAAAGTAGACTTGTACTTAGGAGCATTGATTTGGAGACCATAAATTTGTTGAAGTCTTCTGTTCTAAGTGAAATGAACACCCCTTCCCTTCTATACCCTGCTAAGAATTCAAAACAGGCTACATTAAATGACTATAAATTACAAATGTATGGAGTCTGAATTAATGACTTTGTAATATTGATGGAATATAGAAACTTCACTCTTTCTGAAGGCCAGGAGGGGTAGCTCAAGGGAAAAGAATCTTATGATAACAGATTTGGAATCTTAAAGGAACCTTGAAACCATTAGCCCAATGACTTAATTTTGTAGATGAATAAATTATGGATGAAAGAGTGACTTGCCCAAGGGCAGTCAGTGGTATACTTGATATTTGGACTCAGGTCTCATGAATCCAAGTTCAGAGCTCTTTCCACTGAACCACAAGGCAATCAGAGGGCCTAGGTTTGAATCTTGGTTCCCTCCTTACTACCTCTGTGACGTTGGGCAAACTCATGTACCTTCTTGGGTTCTCGGGTTCCTCATCTATGCAATTTTTTAAAAGGATTGAACTAGGTGATGTCTAAGGTCCCTTTCAGCTCTTAATATATGACTCATGTCACACTTCCTTGTCAATACCTTTCTGACCTATGAGTCTTTTTGTTTCCTTCGAGACCATTGCACTAGATGGAAACTTTAGGAAGACTAAATATGAAGAGCTTCTGCTCTCTTCCAGCTCGGAGGCTCTGTGATTCTCCCATCTAAGTGGCCCTTTGTGATCCTCTACACTGAGGGATCTAATTTGTCACAACTCCTAGGAACAGAACCTGAACTCCTAGTTCTAGGGCTAATCCATCTGCTGTGCCTATGAGAGAGGCATTGGCAGGCAGAGCTAAAGATCTGAAAGCCATGTGCTCTTTGTTTACAGGAAGTCTAAACAGAGAACACATGCACATAAGCTGCTTGACAATGGGCTAATACAATCTATGGCAAAGAATTAACATGTCATCACAGGATCATAGATGACTAAACCATATCTTGTTCAACCAAGGGCAGCTTCCAAGAAACTTTTTTTTTAACTGTCTGAGCTGCACATCATCAAATGATTTTTTTTGAATGTGGGTATGTATGTCTATATGTGAAGGAAAAAAATTACACCTTTTCAGAAACGGACTGGAATCTTCATGGCTCTTTTCCTTGCTACCTCCCTTTGTATAGCTGTAGACCTTTATCATGTCCCCTGGCCCACATTATACATAGACAAGTCTCCCCATGCCTGTTTCCTGGTGGAGATTTAGGGATTTGATTTTGATAATCTGAGCAACATGGCATGATCAACTTATTTTTTCTTTCAAGCAGCATCCTCTGTCTGTCAGCTGCCAACTCAGTCATTCATATTTATTTGTTCAACAAATATTTGAAACAAATTTGCTGCAATGTATTTTGTTTTTACATATCTTTATTTACACACACGTATGTGTGTATACATATATGTATACACACATACATACATGAATACACATATACACATACATACATACATACATACATACATATACATACATACATACGTATGTATTCCCTACCCATCCAGATTGCTACCAGAGAAAGTTAGCAGTTCACTAAAAACTAGCCAACACACCAACCAAGTCTGACAATATGTATATGCAATGTTCTACACCTATCAGCTTCCATTTTTGTAAAACATAAGGGAAAGTGTATCTTCTCATCTCTTCTTTGAGACCAAGCTTGTTTACTAGCATTATGCATATACACATAATTAAGTAAATACATATATTTGTTTTGGGTTTTAGTCTTCCCACTTACATTGGTTTAGCCCTGTATATCATTTTACTGGTTTTGTTTATTTCATTTTGTGCAAGTTACCATATAAGCCCATTTCCTTGTGTTCCTTATATTCTTTGTTTCTTTTTGGCATATATTCCATTTTATTCATGTGCACAATATTTTAGCCACTCCCCAATAGACGGGCATCTTCTTTCTTTCCAGCTTCCTTTGATCCTACAGAAAATGCTTCTAAAACTGTTTTCATGGATACAGAGCCATTATTTCCTGTTTTTAAGTTACTTGTGAGATTTGTACCTAGCAGTGGGGTCTCTAGGCTAAAGAGCAGGACATTTTGGAGTTAATTTCTTGGCATAATTCCAAATTCCTTTCCAGAATGGGTGGATAATAGCTCTACCAATAGTGAATCAATACGTCTGTCTTGCCAAAGTCCTGAACTGTTTTGAGGTCTGAGGACCTGGTTCAACAGATATGTATCAAATCTTCTGTATAGAACACTAGGTCCAGGAAGCTACAAAATGCAAACTTAAAGTCAAAGAGGGAGATAAATTACAAATGCAGATAAAAATAATTTGCAACAATATATGTATGAATGTATTAAGGATATGTAAAACCAAGTGCTATGCAAAATTCAAGCACAAATGAGGGTAATAAGGCTGTTAAGTGATATTATAAAAGTTCTTTGTTGTGTCAGGCAACAAGATTGAGGTCAAGTTATAACTATTCCATTTGGATAAATACCAGATTTTATGAGGCCATCCCACTCACTAAATACTCCTGTGCTTCAATAGATCTTTGATTTCCCTTCACTGGTAATGTATATACTTTGTCATTCTTGTGCAGTTCTTGTCCATGTTCTTCCATAAATTCTAAAGAGAGAATTATTCAATAGAGGAGACATTATTTTAGGTTTTTAATGGTCAGTCAACTAGCATTTATTAAGCACCTACTATGTACCTGGCACTGTGCTAAGCACTGGGGATGCTCATGAACACCAACACAAATATTGGGTTTTCAGGGTCTCTAGTCTGTCTGTCACATTTATTTTCTTATATTTTCAGCATATACAGTAGATGAAAGAGTAAAATCTATTTTTCTGTCAAAGTTTTCTGGTACCAAATGATCCATTAGATGAGACAGAGGCCACAGGGGGGCAAATATGTCCTTTTGTGCACATTCATACTCTTAGTGATATTTCTGTTGTGATTTTGGTGTATGCCATTGTTGGTGATCTACTGTAACTTACTCACACCCATCATGCATCTTTCCATTGCTTTTGGGACACTCATAACTCAGAATTAAGAAATGCTACATGTCCAAAAATTCAAAACCATGGGGACCTATATACCAAATATTTTATTTACATTTCATGAACCTATTTCTCTCCTCCTGCAAGATACTCCAAAAACTACTAGATGAATGAAGAAACAATTAAATAATAAAGTGTGAAGGATGCAAGATAAAGGCATGACCTGGTCCTTCAGGAGGGTGAGAGTTTCTAGCTTGTCCTGATGTTGGGTCATTTAACACTGGCCCCTGTTTTCTCCCTTAGGTTGTTTGGATCACAGCCACTTTGCCCTATTTTGTACTCTTTGTGTTGCTGATTCATGGAATCACTCTGCCTGGAGCCTACAATGGAATCACTGCCTACTTGCACATTGATTTCCGAAGACTGAAGGAGGCCACGGTCAGTGTTTGTCTTTCTTTCTTGCACTAGTTTGGTGTCAGAGTATCTGGGTTCAAATCCCAGCCCTGCTACTTTCTACGTGTGTGACCATGAGCAAGCCTGATTCAGTGATCTTATGCCTTCAGGTTTTTTTTTTATTGTACTGTAAATTTTTTTAATCTAAGTGTGAATTGTTGCCACATTGTTGTGAAAAGAATGCTGGATTTTTAGTTTAAAGGCCTGGGTTTGAATCTTGACTATGTTCCTTAATTACATGGGCGACCTTGACTAAATTATATCACCTCATCTGTAAAATTAGGTAATTGGATTAGATGATCTCTTCTAGCCCTAAGTTTTATGATGATAAAAAGATGAGAGCAAATCCTCAGACCTTATTCTCCTTACTTATAGGAGGGCCCCAGCCACGTGCCCACTTCCACTCTGTGTAATGTCCTATGCCCACCTCCTTCTCCTTACCCCAATCCCACATTCTTACCAGCTATGCCTTTGCCCTTGCTTCCTTCCCCAAGTGTCATGCTCTACATTCCGTCAGTCCCTGATTCCTCAAACCAAACTTCTTTACTCTCTGTACCCCTGACCCAAACCACTACCCTCTCCCCTTTTGGTCCTCATTTTGCCTATGATAGGGCATGACAATGGTCAATGCAGGGGAGGCTGAGGACATCCATGGAAACTTTAGATACTCTTTCTTTTTTATTCCTTCCCATCCGAGGTTCATAGGGAGACATCCTGAATGGGCCACATGATCTCTCCCCATGAAGTAGCAGAGAACAGGACAGATTCCCATGTATCTGAAGCAGTTAGGGGACTTTAAGAGGAAACAAAGTGATGAACTAGTATTGAGGCAATTCCTAAGATTTCCTTCTCTTCTAGTATTCTCATCTCATAACAACATGTCCTTCAGCTAATACCTTGATAATAATACCTTTGTGTTTCTAGAATAGAGGCAATGTTGCATAATGGATAGAATTCAAGATTTGGGTAGAAGAAGTTCTGGTTCAAATCCCACCTCTGACACTTACAAGATGTGTGACCTTAGGCAAGTCATTTAACTGCTATATGCCCTAGGCCACTACTTTGGACTTTTGGGAGAAAGAATTAGCTATGTGCATCATTTCTATAAAGCTGTATTTTTTTACAGAGTACTTTATATATATTGCTATTATGGTACACCAGAAAAAAAATATTAATTCTAAAGTCAGAAAATTTGGGCTCAAATATCACCTTTGATTCTAGCTATGTTACCTTAGGCAAGTCACTCAACCACTCTGTAGGATTTAAGCAACTGTTTGTAAATTATGGTAGAGGTCTCTGTGAGCACAATTTCTGGAGTATTACATTTTTTTCCAGAGTATTTTCATTCATGTTGTTATTTTAGTACTGTAGAAAGAATATTGATACTCTAGTCAGAAGACTTGTGTTCAAATCTTGTCTCTGGTACCTGTGTGACTTTGGGCAAGTCACTTAATGTCCCTTGGCTTTAGTTTCTTCGTCTGAAAAACTGCAGGGGTCAGACTAGATATACTCTGAGGTCTCTCTTCTCTCTGGATTTGTACTCTTCTTTTGCTTCTCTTGAGAGGAATTTGAAATAGATAATAAAGGGATCATTGTCCTTTTCTTGAAGCCAGGGAACTGAGATAGTAAGAGATTAAGTCACTTCTTCAGGATCTTGTAGTGTATTCATGACAGAGCTAAGGACTGGAAATAAAATGTAGGTCTCTGTGCAAACTGGTCCAGTCAGTGAATGACAATGTTGTCAGCTCCTAGATTGGCGCCATGATAATAGCACCACTATACATTTCTTTAGTTCTGTAATGTTTACAAAGGGCTGTAATGTTTACAAAGTGCCTTCCTAATAATTCTGTGAGGTAGGCAGTACAAGTATAATTATCCTCTTTTACAGATGAGAAAACTAAGACTCCAAATTGGTAAACAGCTTACTCCTAGTTACAGCATTAATAAATGTCAAAGTCCAGCATTTAAAACCAGGTCTTCCAACTCCAAAACCAAAATTCTTTGCACACTGGAAATATGTTGCTAACAAATACCTTTGTCTTGGTAGGAAAAGAAATCATTTATACAAAGAGAGAGAAGCTTATTTAGGGCTGCTGGTCAGCAAAAAAGAAAAAAAAAAGAAAGACTTTAATTTTCTTGAAAGACAGAGAATGTAATCATGGTACCAGTGCAACAGCTGCTCACATCTGCTTAGAAATATCATTGCAGTCTCTCTTCCCTTTTACATCAGCTAAGTGGTCTGTTCCTATATGGTCAAGGAAGAGGAAGACAGATTCATTGGTGCCCTTATTTTGTCTACACAGGTGTGGATTGATGCAGCCACCCAGATATTCTACTCATTAGGAGCTGGATTTGGAGTTTTAATTGCATTTGCCAGTTACAACAAGTTTGACAACAACTGTTACAGGTGAAAAACTGCTTTGTGGTTGGGTGAATTTTCTTTTCTCTGCTTAGTCGATGGGTGATGTGGGTGTTGCTCAGTTGAATTCATCCTTAATTCAGAACCTTCCCAGAATAGATACAAGGTGGAGAGGCAAGAAAAGGAATATTCAAAGATTCCAGCTTCCTAGATGTCCTTCTGTGTCATGTGGATAGAGACAGAGCAGAGATCATCAGGTAGATGCCAGAAAAAGGGAGATCCAGATTATATAACAATGAGTAGTTATTATTCATAAGGTAGGTAGTACAAGTATTATCACCATTTACAGATGAGGAAACATATTCAGAAGTTAAATTACTCACACAGCTAGTAAGAATCACAGCTGGGACTTGAACCAGGTCTTTGCTGACTCTATGTTTAAACTGCTTTCTGTTATGTCATGAGTCTGACTTTTTACACTGGTCAAGTGTTCAAAAGCTGTGTGGAAGTCAAGGAATATGAAGACTGAAAAAAAGGCCAATGGATTTTATAATCAGGATGTCACTGATGGAATGACTGAAGGAGAGAGTAGTCTTAAGTAGAATGTCAAAGGCAAAGGCAAGATTGCAAGGGGTTGAAGAGACAGTGCAAGCCTCTTTTTTCCCCTAGAAATTTGAAAGCAAAGGGCTGATGGAAGAAAGATAGAGGGTGTTGACAATAGAATGCCAGTTAGAAGGTATTTTTGTTGTGGTCTAGGGAGATCTAATTATCTATATGCAGGTGAAGGAGGAGATACTGATGATAAGTGAGAGAAGGGTTGACTAAGGGAGCAAGGCCTTAGAAAAAAGCAATGGGGTCAAGGGCACAGGGGGAAGAATTGGCCTTCATGAGAAGTAGAACTATATCCTCTTTTTCTGACCCAAAAGAATGGGTAATGAAGCTGCGAAGTTTTGAAGAATGAAGGAGGAGGGAATCCATGTCAGATGTCCTCAGTCTTCTTAGAGATGTAGGAGTCGAGATAATTTGATGTACATGAATGTGTTTGGTGGGGGAAAGGAGAAGTGTTGTAGTGAGTGAGTAAAAGAAAGAAGAAAAGGTTTTCTGATAAGATGGGAAGTGAGGTAGGGAGTTGCGTTATACATATCTTAGAATATGATAAGTGCAAAACCAAGTCCCAAAGCATGAGGAAAAAAACTTGCAAATGGACAGAACAAATGAAGTAGGATTCATTTTGAGGGCTGGACCTATGATTTCCTCAAGGTAAGGAGCTCAGGGTAAGGAACTGCCTCTACCAATGCAGATGGGAACCTTCTCAACAGCCTATTTGTCACTCACATAGTTAGTATGTGTCAGAGGCAGGACTTGAACCCAGGGATTTATGGATTCATGGTTAGCTAGGTTTCAAGCCATACTGACTCTCAAGATGAAATGTACTAGGGACAAATATAAAATTCTTCCCCTGGGTCCAAAAACTCAACTTTGCAAGTACAGAATGGAGGAAGCATGACTAGTCAACAATCATACAAAAAGGTCTGAATGTTTCAGTGATGTGTGAGCATTCAATATATGTCAAAAGTATGACAAGGATGGCAAAAAAGTTCATGGTATGAGGAGAGGCTGCATTAAGAGAGATATCAGGATCGCAGTGTTTGGTCTGCACTTTACCACATTTTGAAAAAGACATAGAAAAGTTTGAGCAGGTCCAGAAGAAGACAACCAGCATGGTGAAAGACCAGACCCAATGCCATGCAAAGATCACTTGTGAAGAATCAGGGGTTTGTAGCCTTGAGAAGACTTAGGATGGAACAAGATAGCAGCTTTAAAATATTTGAACAACTATGATTTTGAAGAGTAAAGAGTCTGTTTTCTTCTACTTGGCCCTAAAAGAAAAGACAAGAAACAATCAGTAGAAGTTGCAAGGAGACTAATTTATGCTGTAGGTAATGACAAGCTTCATAATATTTAGAGTTATCATGAGTGAAATGAAATGTCTTAGAAAATAATGTTCTCTTCATTATTAGAGATCTTCAAGTGAAGGCTCTTGGGCATATGGTAGAAGGGATTCTCAGATATGAGCTGGACTAGATGGCCTACAAGCTCAACTACTTCTGTGATTCTGGGATCAGTCAAGGGGTCCAAGGAAGGCTTCTTGGAGGAGGTTGTGTCTGAATTGGGACTTGGAGGAAGCAATTCATTAGATGTACTTATCAAAGGTGTCTAGAACTCAGGCCAGCCAGATGAAAAAGCCAATAGAATGTACCAACAATCAAAATGCGATGACCCCAACAGCAAAGCAAGGTTCTAGATTTTCTTGGGCCTTTATACATACTTTCTTCCAGGTTAGACGCTTATGCTAGGTTATGAGTATCTTTGAGCCTATAGATAAGGACAGGTAAATGAATGTGTTTTGTGTGTTGGGCAGGCAGCTCTGAAAATGGGAGATTCCTGACCTGCCAGCCAGATCACCTTGGTCTATGGTGATTTTTCCCAGCACAGTAAACTTCTTGAGTTCACCAACAGGTCAGGGTAGATAATATTAGAAGAATCACCAGAGGTAGAATTCAGTTAACAAATAGCACCCTTCCTTCCATTCATTGCAAGCTTTAACAGTCTTCTTCTTTTACCCCAGAGATGCTCTGCTAACTAGCACTATCAACTGTGTCACAAGTTTCATCTCTGGATTTGCCATCTTCTCCATATTGGGCTACATGGCTCATGAACACAAGGTTAAGATCGAAGATGTGGCAACAGAAGGTAGGGAGGCTCAGTCTCAACTATCTAAAACTAAAGCTTTATAATCTAGATCTATTCCTAATAAAGACTGGGGGAGAGGCATAGAGAATATAAAGTCTGTATTTGTGATTTAATTGATAATGAGAAATTCCTGTGTGGAAACTCCCTCCAGATTCAAAATTAACAACTTACTGTAACTTAGAAGAGGGGTGGGGACCTACAGCCTCGAGGCCACATGTGGCCCTCTAGGTCCTCAAGTGCGGCCCTTTGACTGAATCCAAACTTCACAGAACAACTCCCTAAGGGATTATATTTGTTAAAAATTGTTAATACAAATATTATTATTATTTGTTCTGTGAAATTTGGAATATTAGAGGGCTGTCTGGGGTACTGAGAAGTTCAGTGATTTTCCCATGGTCACTTCACTATCATGTGTCAGAATTAGGACTTAAACCTAGGGCTTCCTGACTTTCTGTATGATGGCATGTATATAACCTATATCAAATTGCTTGCTGTCTTAGAAAGAGAGGAGAGAATTTAGAACTCCAAATTTGAAAACAAATATCAAAAATGGTTTTTACATGCAATTGGAAAAACAAAATTAAATCACAAAAAGATCATCTATGTACTTTGATATACTGTGTCTCATTTTATTTTGTCAACAGATTTGTTCTGTGAAATTTGGATTCATCAAAGGGTTGCACTTGAGGGACCTAGAAGGCCCACATGTGGTCTCGAGGCTGCAGGTTTCCCACCCCTGGCTTAGTAGATTTGTCCAAGGGAGATGTCTGAGACATACAAATGTTAATAACTAAAGTCACACATCCAGTTAAGTATTAGAAGCATGATTTGAACCATCCCTGACTCCAAATCCAGCCCTATCTAGGACTTCATGTTGCCTCTTGGCTCTGAAATACCTCCATGAATTTAATAAATAGCTATTCTCATAGTATGTAAACGTTTAGAAAGCACCTTCTTCACAATACTTCTGTGAGATAGTTAATATAAATATTATTATTATTATTCCTATTTTATAGATAAAAAACTAAATTTTGTAGGGGTTATAGTGACTTTCATTTAACAAGCATTTATTTAGCATTTACTATATACTAGGCAAAGGAGATAAAGACATAAAAATAAAACAATCCCCACAACAGTCCTGTAAGCAGGAACTTGCATTCTGTTATGAAAAACAACGTGTACACATGCAAGTAAATGCAAAAATATAAAGAAAATTGTTTCAGGAGGCACTAACACCAATAGGAAAGGCCTCATGGAGAAATGGAGCACTTGAGGGGCAGCTAGATGGCACAGTGGATAGAGCACTGGCCCTAGATTCGGGAGGACCTAAGTTCAAATCTGGCCTCAGACACATAACACTTAGTAGCTGTGTGACTCTGAACAAGTCACTTAACCCCATTGCCTAGCCAACAAATAAAAAAGAAAGAAAGAAAGAAAGAAAGAAAGAAAGAAAGAAAGAAAGAAAGAAAGAAAGAAAGAAAGAAAGAAAGAAAGAAATGGAGCATTTGAGCTGTGCTTTGAAGGAAGTTATGAATTCAAAGGGGTGGGAGTTGCAAAGCCCTTAGGCCTCAAATCCAGATCAGCATCAACTATTCTACATCTCTAAGAAGTCATTTTTCAAACTGTAACCAGGTCACTGAGAAATAGCAATTTGTTAACTATTTTCAACCCTCAAATTTGAAATTTCTTCTTAAACCAGGAGTATAGGGGCAAGGACATGCTTGTTAACTGACTGTTGACTGAGATGTTCTCACAGGAAACAACCAAAGAAAAATGCAGGAATGTCTGTGACCAAGTTTTAGTCTATGTGATTCAAATATTTTTTTGCAAGGGAGCTCAGGGGAGAGAGGTATTGCATGGGAAAAGTCAGAGAAGTCTTTAGAGAGGAGATGAACTATGAGCTGGGCCAAGAAGGATGAGTATTGCTTGACTGGAAGAGAGAAAGGAGGATGAGCTGGAGAAAATAGCATGGACAATTCGAGTGGAGAACCCCCGTATTCTGCCTCTGATTCAATGGTGTTAACTATTCCAAGCCACAGGCTGGAGTCTTCAGCTGAGGCCAGAGCTGTCTAAGCTCCAAGAATGTTGTTAGTATCAAAGAAGATCATTTGGAGAGGACTTCTCCCCTAGGATAGCATCTCAGAACCTAAGTCTTCAGTGTGCAGTGGTACCAGCCATGAGAGTTGACAGGATGTGTTACTTTTCTTTCTTTCAGGTGCTGGTTTGGTTTTCATCCTTTATCCAGAAGCCATCTCTACCTTGTCAGGATCCACCTTCTGGGCCATAGTATTCTTCGTCATGCTGTTGGCGTTGGGTATTGATAGCTCGGTGTGTGTTCCCCAGTTTACTCTCTTCCTCCAGGTCTCCCCAGGGCAAGAGTGCTCCCTTAGTTCCAGAGTGTAAGGACTTCCAAACCTGAGTCGCACCAGCATGCATAGCCCAGGATCCTTGGGAGTAAGCAGGGAATGTGGGCTAATATCAGAAAATCAAGACCAACAAATGCATTTGCATAAGAATAATGGAATGTTAGAGCTGGAGGGGCCTTAGATCAAGAATCTCAAATATGGAAGAGAACTTGGAGCACAGAATGTCAGCATTGGAAGAGACCCTGGAAAACAGAATCTCAGAGTTGGAATGGCTCTTTGTATATGAAATGCTAGAGCTGGAAGGCTCTCTAGAATCCAACTAGTGTAACCCCCTCATTTTACATAGAAGGAAATTGGGGCCTAGGAAAGTTGAATAAATCACCCTTAATTTTCTCATTTGTCAAATGGGGATAATAATATATGGTCTAGCCACTCCACACTGGGGGTAATCAGCTTTGAAGAGCTTTTAAAATATAATATAATAAATGTGGAATCACTTTATAAAACATAACCCCTTTACATGTGCACAGAACTTTAGAGTCATCAATGTACTTTTATTGGTTGATCTCATTCAATCTTTACAATAATCCTGGCAGCTTGGAGTTCAGCTAGGAAGACATTTAGGAGGGCAGGGGTTATCCTTACTATTCAATAGAGGACGAAACTGAATCTCACAGAGATTGAATGACTTGACCCCAATCACATGGGAAATTATCAACAGAGAAAGGGCTAGAACTAAATCCCCTGGCTCCTTCCTTTTCTAATGTGCTTTCAATTATACCAGGCTGCCTCTAACAATGAATTCAAAATATGGCTTATCCATAGCTGACAAAGGTGTTTGTGTGAGGGGACTCCTTAAGAATTTTGCAGTATATGGGCTATGGTGTTTGGTTGGCGTCAGTCTTATGTCTGGATCTCAAACAAATAGGGGTAGTTTACATCTTACATCCATTTAGCCTGCCTTCAGATACCAGGTTCCTGCCCTCTACATGATATATTTTGAAAGGCAGCCAAAGTTGTCCCTTTCCTGACCAAAAATGTTCTCCCTACTGGCTTTCTATGGTTCCTAGAATGATGATTATTGAAGTTACTGCTTTAGGTTAAAGTACGGCCTCCTGAAGACCTCTTTGAAAATGTAAAAATGTAGCATGTTATAGAAGTACAAGGTATAACATGTTAAGTAATTAGTACGCGTTATAAGATTATCAGTCCTCTGGTAGAGGGCAGAGTCCTGAGGGAGTGGGACTCAGGGAACACTTAATTACACAAGTTCACGCATATACACATCTACACACAGCGGCTGATTTAGTAATTTAGCTGGGAACAGAAGAGAAGATGAGGAGTGGAGGGAGAGACTTGTGAGTAATTATTAGAGGCCTGCTCATGAGTGAAGACATGTCTCATATACCCATTTAGTGGAGTTTCGCCATTTTTCTAAGAGGGATACATGCAGGTCCTTGGATACTATGTTTCTTAGTACTGGCTGTCTTCTGAGAGAGCTGCCCTGCCCCAGCTTGCCCCTTCCTCCCATCTGCCTCCATTGTTGTGTCCTTCCTCATGCTGTTGGCTCTGGTCATCTGCGGCTCCTTTGTTCATAGCAGAGGAGGATTCTGAGCCTGCTGTGGTTCTCTCTAGATGGGAGGAATGGAGGCTGTCATCACTGGCCTTGCAGATGACTTCCAGATCCTGAAGCGGCACAGAAAGCTTTTCACATTTGCTGTCACCTTTGGCACCTTCCTGCTGGCTCTGTTTTGTATCACTAAGGTGAGTAAGTCATTGACTATGGCAGGTATTAGTGAGAGGAGACATGTTTTTGTCAACTGCTGCTTGTAGTTGAGTCTGTTTCTGGGGCCGTGGAAGAGCCCTGATCTTGGAGCCTTCAGTTTTGAGCTCAAGTCTCAACTCCATCATTCTAGTTGCATGACCTTGGGCAAGTGATTTCTCTGGTCTGGACCTCAGTTTCTTCATTTGCCAAATAAAGATCATAATTCTTGCCTTGAAGCATTGTTGTGAAGATTGGATGATAGAATGGATTTAGAAACAGTTTGTAAAACATACAGCATTCATAGATTAAGAACAAGGGATGTTAGGGTCCATCTAGTTCAACCACTTCATTTTACAGATGAGGAACTGAGACCCAGAGAAAGTAAGTGACTCACCCAAGGCCACACAGATAGTGACAGAAAATATATACACATGCGTATTATAATTCTATGATATCAGTATTGCTATGACCTCTTTGGATAATCACTTTGTCAGAAACATGTTCTAGGGGACAGGGAAAATGCAAGTACCTAAGAACTATTCATGGAAATGAGACCATCACTGTCTGCCCTTTCCCTGTGACCTGATCTGGTGAACTAAAGCCAACTTTGAGAAAGATTTACCACTCAGGTCCTCTCCACTTAGATTCCAAGCTTTATTTCTTTCCTTACAATTATCTGTGACTCTTTCCTTTCTCTGTATCTGGTTGGTTGCCAAGTCCCATTAACTCTGCAAACACTCCTAGCACTATTCTGTTCTGTGTACATAGAAGCTACCTTCTTCTTTTATTAAGCTCTCATCACTTTTCACTCGGACTATTACAATAGACCCCTTAACTATTCTCCCAGCCTCTCTTTTTACTAATTCATTCTCCATATAGCTGCCAAAATCATCTTCCTGAGGCACAGGTTGCATTACTCCCTTGCTCAATAATGTTCAGTGACTTCCTATTGCCTTGAAGATAAAATACAAAGTCCTTAACCTGCCATTTAAAGATCTTCATAATCTGGTTCTCACCTACCTTTCTAGACCTATTTAATTTTACTCCTCTTCATATACCCCATATTCTAGTTCAGCTAGACCACTGGCATCATCCAAACTTGATATGCCATCTTCTATTTCCATTCATTGTTACAGGTTGTCTCCCATGCCTTGCATGTTCTTCCATGTTTTCTCTGCCTTTCAGACTCTTTTTCATCCTTAAATATTCTGCTCAGGAATGATCTCCATGATGTCTTTTTTATCTCCCGAGATAAAGATGGTCTCTCCCTCCTCAAGTTTTTTTTTCTAAAGTACACTGCATAGATCTTCTCTTTGTCCCCACCATGTACAATGTTGTCCTATACTTAATCTATTTCCATATCATATCCTTCCTTGTTAGATGATAAGTAATTTAAAGGAAGATAATATTTCATATTTGGGTACTTGTTGTAGTACTTACCTCACTCCAACCCCATAGAACATAAGCTCCTTAAAAGCCAGGACTATGCCATTTTTTTAAACCATGTGACTCCAGCAATGTCTTCTGCACACAGTTGGAACTTAGGAAATGTTTGTTGAATTTACATTCAACATGGAAGTGAATGTAAATTTGGTGTTTTTTTTTTAAAATTCTGTGCTCCAGGGGGGAATATATGTGTTGACACTGCTGGATACATTTGCTGCAGGGACCTCAATCTTGTTTGCTGTTTTAATGGAAGCCATTGGTGTTTCATGGTTCTATGGTAAGTGTATTTTTTTTCTTTTCCCTAGGGGTCTTAGAGAAGTGACTTATCTCTACACCAGCCTGACATATAGGATTTATGCAGCACTTAATATCCAAAGTGGTGAATTTTAATTGTGTGATCCTCCTAATTTACAGGAATAGCTTTAGATTATCCATTTAATGGATCAACCATGAATGTTTTAACTTGGGCTTGCTTCACACTCCTGGGCAGTTTGTTTCTGACACAAGGTGGTGTGTGTTTGTGTGTGTAAGAGCATCTCATAGGAGCACAGATCTAGAACTGGAAGAGACCTGTAGTACATGTAGTCCAACTTCTTCATTTTATAGACTCGGAAACAGAAGCCCAGAGAGGTTTAGTTACTGGCCCAAAGTTACAACATAAGTAACAGAGCTGGGATTTGAACATTTGACTTCAAATCCTCTTTCCTCTGTAAAAAAGCATCAGTCTTAAGATTAACTTTATTAGGAAAAGGAAATTGATGCCCAAAGGATCATATAATTCAAATGATCACAAAATGCCTCATTTATTGCATTATTCATTCTTCTGATTTATCTAGAATTTATACTTCTCTATTCCTGTCAACAGTCAGGAGTTGATTCTGCAGGTATATAGAAAAATAATAACCAGATGTCCTTTAAGAAACAAAATTGCTCTCTAGCCCTTTTACCTCAAGGTTGGTCAGCATTGGATTTGACTTTATGAATTTTCTTCACCAAGGGTGGCAGTAATTAGTTTAATTCCATTAATGTTTGGGGAACCACTTGGTGCTGAAACTAGGGTAGGTTAAGAGTAGCCCTTCTGTTCTCAATGGTATTTGGGCATCTTTTCCAGTTTGCGTGATTTGTCTTGCATAAAGGCCTTCTACTTGACTAATGTATTGTGTGTATGTGTGTGTGTGTTCCTTAGGTGTGGACAGATTCAGCAATGATATTCAACAGATGATGGGGTTCAAACCAGGACTCTACTGGAGGCTCTGCTGGAAATTTGTGAGCCCAGCCTTCCTATTGGTAAGAAGTTTGGATTTTCCAAAGAAGGAGGGGGAATTATGTCCCCAGGGATGTGAGGGCTGTGGAAAACTTTGAAAATGATAATAATGTAGTTTATTTAGAGCCATCTCTTTCTTGTCAACTATCATTTCTATACAGAAGGTTTCTAGATTGATACATTCAGTCCTAGTCTCTTTCCTGAGGTTCTGTCTCACCAACTGCCAACTCAACCCGGATTGGATGTTCCATAACTATCTCAAACTCAGTATATCCAAAGAACTTATTTTCTCTCCCCACTAACTATCTGGCCAACCCACCCTTCTTCCAGACTTCCCTATTACTGATAAAGACATCACTTCCCTGTCATCCAATTTCTCAACCACGAAGTCATGCTTGACTTCTTACACTCATCCCACATATGCAGTATGGTGTCAAATACTGTCATGTCTTCATTCACAACATCTACTGTGTAACAACTATCCCAGCTACCATTTTATTCAGGTCCTTGTTACCCCTCAGCTAGACTATTGCAACAGCCTTCTAATTGGTCTCCCTGTGTAAACTCTTCTCCTAATAAAATACATTCTTCACTTAACCAACAAGGTGATTTTTCTAAAACTGACCATATCACCCCTGTAGTCAATAAACATCAGTGGCTCCCTATAAACTTCAAGATAAAATATAATGTCCTGTATTTAAAGCTCTTTATAAAATGGCCCCTTCCTACCTTTCCAGTCTTCTTACCCCTTACTCCCCTTCACATACTCTACAATCCGGCTAAACTGGCCTATTTGCTGTTGCTAATACATGATTCTCCATCTCTTGACAAAATGCCTTTGCACTGTCTGTTCATTAGACCTGAGAATGCTCTTTTCTCACCTCTACTTCTTTGCTTCACTGGCTTCCTTTCAAGACTCAGTTCAAGTCTAACCTTCTGTAGGAGATTTTTTTCCCCAGATACTTCTCTGAGATCACCATCCATCTACTACTACTACATATATTTACATTTATGTGTTTACACACATATATGTAAATATATTGTGTATATTGTTCTTTACTTCTTGTTTTCCTCATTAAAATGTGCAGTATTTGAGAGGAGGAATCACTTTCACCCTTTTCTCTGTATCACCAGTGCTTAGCACAATGTCTGTCATATATAGAGCTTCATAGATACTTGTTGACTGACTGACCTTTCCCAGCCAGGCCTGATTTGTAATGCCTCACTCTCCTGCTCTGAATTTTCACCTCTTTATTATTAGCTTCATTCTCATTTTCTTCATCTTCTTTGCTTCTCTTCACTTTCTTCCCTTTCCTTTATAGTCACAGAATCTCAAATTTGGTAGGGACCTCAGAGATCATCTAGTTAAAACTTCATACGACCAAGAATCTCTTCTACAAGATCCCAAGCAAGTGGCCATCTGGGCTTTGCTTGAAAGACTCTAGTGAGAGAGAACATATGACCTCCCAAAACAACTGGCTGCACTTTGCACAGCTGTGATTATGAATAATGTTGTCTTTATATTGAACCTAAACTTATGTCTCCATAATTTCCATCTATTGATCCTGGTTCTGTCTTCCAGAGCCAAACAGAGCAAGTCTAGTATTTCTTCCATATCATTGTATTCTCGATACTTGAAGACGATTACCATGTTCCTCCTTTGTTTTGTCTTCTCTAGGCTAAGCATTCTACTTCCTTCAACTGATCTTTGTGTTGAAGGTTCTCTATTCCCCTCCTCATTCTCCTCTGGATGCTCTTTGAGTTATTAATGTATCGCTAAAACACAGCACTGAGAATTAAATGCAATATTCTAGATGCATCCTGATCAAGCCGGAATACATTGGGGTTCTTACTTCTCTGATTCTTGACCCTAGGCAGACTGATCACAATAGCTTTGGGTGAGTGGGTGGGCTATCATGTTGTACAATTTACATATATTAAGCTACAGTCCACTAAGGCCCCCAGTTTTTTTTTAAATGGACACACTTCCCCATCCAGTGTTTGTGAAGATTCATCTAGTCATATTCTTTTTCCCAATTCTCTTCTCCTCTCACTTTCTACCCACTTTATCCTCTCTGTTTTCTCTCTGCCCTCTTTTCCCTTCATTGCTATCCTTTCCTCTTTTATTTTTCCTTACTTTGTTCCTTATTTCCATTATTTGCTTTTCTCCTTTTCCTCTTCTTCTTCCTTTTTCTTTCTTTACTTCACTCAAAAACATTTATCAAGAATATGCTATGTACATGTTATGTAGTGTTCTTAATTCTCTGTGTGATTTCCACTCTCCATCTTTTTCTTGAGGGCAGGGACTGTGTACTCCATGTATCTGTACCCCAAGTATCCAGTATAGGATTTTGTACAGAATAAGTGCTTGATATTTGTTAAGCTGACTTGAGTTATCTCCTTCCCTCCTTAGTTTGTGGTGGTTGTCAGCATCATCAACTTCAAGCCCCTCAACTATGATGACTATGTCTTCCCTTTGTGGGCCAACTGTGTGGGCTGGGGCATTGCCCTTTCCTCCATGGTACTAGTGCCTGCCTACATTATCTACAAATTCCTGAGCTTGAAGGGCTCCTTAAGAGAGGCAAGTACTCTAGACTGGGCAGAATCAAGGGCTGATTACAGACACAGAGTTGGCAAGTATGGGCAACCTTTTCTGCCATTCAGCACCCATAAAAAAGAATTAGTAGTTTGGGCTTAGTGTTTCAGAATACCAGGTATGGAAGGGAATTTATAGATCACCTAATCCATCCTTCTGATTTTATAGATAAAGAAACTGAGCTTCAGAAAGGAGACATAGCTTTATCAAGGTCTCATAGGAAACTAATGTCAGATGAAGGACTACTCTTATATTCCGTCAAAGCTGTAAGAAACCTTAGAAATCAGAGTTGTATCTTCTTTCATTATTTGGTTTCACAAATGAGGCCCAGAGAGGTTAACTGATTTGACCAGGATTATACAATTATTGACTGGCAAAGCTGGGACTCAAACCCAGATCTTCCCAAGTTTGGTTTTTTTTTTTTGAGTCCCTGTTAATTTTTTCCTATGTTGTCCATTGGAAAGCAAGTTTGGATGGTAAAAGCTATTATGGGCAAAAATATAAATTCCTCGAGGGCAGAGACTGCTTGTCATTGGGGATATGTAGCATCCCCAGCTCCTAGCTAGTACTTTCTGTGAGTCAACACTCAACAAGTGTTTTTTGTTATTGCTGTGATACACTTCTACACAGAGCACCAAAAAACATGGTACTTAGTACTGCACGGTCTTTTCTAACTGCCCCCTGGCCCTCTCCTTCTCAAAAACTACCTTGAATTAATTTTGTATCTCTCCTATATATACTTATATATTCACATGTACTACCCCATCCTTGGTATAATGCAATCACCTTGAGATTGAGGACCGTTTCCCTTTTGTCTTTGTATTTTCAGTGTTTAACACAGTTCTTGTCACATAGTGCTTAATAAATACTTGTTGATTGACTGCTTGGAGGTTGTGTTATCCAACCACATCATTTTTACAGAGAAGGAAACTGAGGCCCAGAGAGACAGATGACACACTGATAACTTGTAGAGTTACCAGAACTTGAATCCAGGTCCTCTGACTCTAATGTTCTGTCTACTATATTATATCATGAGCCTCTGAAGGAACTTAAAATCTAGTAGATCTCTTTGAGTACAGAGGCCACAGAGCCTTATTTTTTTCCCCCATGAATCCCCTATAGTACCTACACATGGTAGGAGTTCATGAAATACTAATCTATTTTCTTGATGACAAATCCAGATTTTCATATGCTAGGCTCACTTAAAGGGGGGTTAACTTGTATTCTCACTGGATAAATAGGTTTCTATAAAGTGGTTTGCTATGTATTTTATACACAGTGCACATAGAGGGTTGAGGAAATATTAGAGAGATACTTATTCATTCCTTCCTTCCTTCCTTCCTTCATTCACTTATTTATTATTTTTTTTTATTTGAGCCAAACTCTTCATTTACTTACTAGATCAGGCCCATTATATTTGAGTGGCAGCAGGCATTTTCGGGAAGCACTGACCTCTCTTCTCTTTCTGCTTTATTCTTAGAGACTGGCTTACTGCATAACTCCAGAAAATGAGCACCACCTTGTGGCACAAAGGAACATCAGGCAGTTTAAGGTTTGTGCCTGTCCCTGAGCTTCTTCCTCCCCAAGAAGCTAGTGGCAGGAACAGGTTTTGGGGCTGGGAGTCAAGTCATCATGTTTATGTGGCAGATAGTGAACCACCCAGGAAAAATATGGAGTAAAATTCAACAGTTTGTGGAGTTTCACAAGTTTCCTAGAATTATAATCTATTTTGCAGCAGGATTTTGAGAAAAGTATGAAGTTACAGCACCTGGGATTTGGTGACCAAAATTATGTTCCCCACAGTCTATAGAATGTCAAAGCTGTAGGGGAGCTTTAGAAATCACCTAGACCAAATCTCCCAGTTTATGGGTAAGGATAATAAGACCCCAAAAGGCAAAATGACTCGCCCAAAGTCACACAGCTGGAATTTAGTACATTGCAGAGTACCTTCAGCCAGAACTCTAATCCAGGATTTCTACCTCAATGTTCTTTCTGCTATGCAGTGTTCCCTACTTCCTCAGTGGTCCTTGGTTTTTTCTCCTTTCTCTTATTCTCCCATTCTTCCATGCAGTTTGAAAGATGGGTTGTTGGGAATCATGTGGGGAGCTGAAATAATATGCAAAGTGTGGAAATAGCAAAAAGGCAAATGTGAGGAATTAGTGAAGGGAGAATAAAGAAGGATAATGAATACAAAGGAGTATAAACTGGGCATAATGAGTGGAGAAAGGATAAAACTTGGTTGGGGTGGCATATATGGGAAAGATGGCTTCTTATGAAAAGTAGAACAAGACTTAATTCTGCTTTTCTTAATGTTGTTTCTTTTCTCCCATCTTGGTCACAGTATGGAGTAGAGCAGGGGATTGTTCAAAACACTGGATGGTTTGAGCAACAGAGAGAAGGTAGTGAGATTCTAAGGTTTCTAAAGAGGTCAATTCTTAGAGAAGCCACATCATGCATTGAATAGAGCACTGGAGTCAGGAAGGCCTGAGTTTCAACCCTGTCTCTAACATTTACCATCTGTGTGACCTTGGGAAAATCTTAACTTCTCTTAGTCTCAATTTCCTCATCTGTAAAATAAGAGTGTAAGATGTGATGACCTCTAAGATTCCCTTTCTACCTCTAAATTTAAAATCCCTTCTCTTTCTAACCATTTGGCACATACAGCTTTGAAAATCCCCACCCTGACTCTGCTCCAGGGCAGTGTTCTGTTTCAGAGTTACTACGAACAGAATTGTGGGAGGACATCATAGCCCTCCATCTCATTGATCATTATCCTTAAAGAATATGGGCATGTTCCAGACATATCTGACTTTTGTGGTAGCCCATTGATGTCAGATTTTGTTTATTCAAGGATCTAGTGATTTCATCAGTGGAGTAGTCCATCCATTGATGAAGATCACTACTCCTCCCTGCCTAGCAGTTACTTTGCAAGTAACTCTGAGTAGGAAAAAGAACAAAAAAAATCATTCCCTCAAGGCCCACTTTTTAGTAATGAGTGTCTCTACACTGAGCTAGGCTGATACTCATATAACAGACATAAAGTCACTGTGTAGGCCCAAATTCAGACACTGGTAGACACTCAAGTGTACTGAAGGAAACTGTAATTCCCACTGTCTCAAAGATGCCATGAAATTGACTCTTTGGGGGATTCTGTTACCTTTAGCTTCTTTCTTAGTTTTCCTGATTGCACAATAGCCAGTACCTAAAGAATTAAAGTCCTTCAAATTCATGTAGGCCTCAATTCTTCAAGAATCTTTTCTTTTTCAGCTCCAGCACTGGCTAGCGATCTGACTGCACTCACCTGAGGAGGAACCCTGTCTTTTGTGATGCGTTCAAAGGAGATTAGTGACAATGTCAAGGTTGAAGCCCTCTGGATTGTACTTCACCCATCACTCTTGAGTTGACCCATGGATTGTCTTAAGGGAAGAGAATTTATCTAAAAATTTCTTTTCCTTCACTCAGTTACAAATGAATTCAATGAATCTGGTCTTTGTTTTCCTTTGAACCATTAGTTTTATGGACTAGTTCCTGAAGTAGATTTGCTAAGGCTTAGGGGAGATATGGGATGTGAAGGGAACTGGAGAGACTTGTGTACCTTCACTCAAAGCCTCTGTTACCTAGGAAATAGTCAAGATAAGATAATTGTCTATGGCTACTGCTGGTAAACTCTTATTTAGTCATTTGGTTGCCATATTCTCTTTGAGATCAGGCTGCAGGGACAAGTCACTGGAGAAAGATGTTTAGAAGCTTGCTGCTATTCCTAATGTCTTACTGGACTAATTCTGTATCCTTCTGAATTATATGGTATGAACTGATACTTTGTTATTATTCTCAGTGCTGCCCTTGGCTAATACTTTTGTTTTCCAGAGAAGGAGAATGGGAGAGCTGGGTCATTTCTGTTCCATTTAAGTTGTAATGAGATGGATGGGTTTGGAATTATAATTTAGGGAGCCACAGATGATGCTATAAGTTATTCTCTGATGTATTTTTTTTAGTAGTGGAAGGTGCTTATCTGAAACTAATTATTAGGAGAGTTTTATTTATCATGTGAGATAGGTTCACTTGCCTTGTTCAGTTGGCATCAATACTTCAGTGGATCCATGATTCATTGCTGTGGGTGCTCCCTCCTCTGGTGCAGATTGTAACCCCTCCACACATTTTCCTATCTTGGGGAATTCTTGTGCATATATTTCCATCAATTCTGCATAGGGGATGCTGGAGGTATTCCTCCGGGTTGTTATTTAATGAATACTGGTGCAGCACTCGGAGACTTCCAGCAGCTTAAACGTTTCAGAGGCATATCTTCTTCACCGTGTTTTCTGGTATTTCTTCCAAAAAGAAAAAAAAATCTTAGTCCATAGCTATATATGTATGAAACCTGTAATTCTTTAAGATGGTGGTTTTATTCTGATCCAAAGAAACCAGATCCCCAGCTTTGCTGTGGAATGCAATGAGGCCTCCCTTTCTGCCCTTTCTCATCAAATAACTATAGTCAGCTCTTGAATTCTGTGTTCATTGAAAGGAACAGTGGCCTGGATAATCCAAAAATGATTCCATTTGTCCTTGGGATAACCAGTAAGCTTGTTGTTTGTTTTGTTTTGTTTTGTTTTTCATTAACAACTCTACCTTCACAATTTGTTGGCATTCAGGCTTCTTTTTAATGGAATTTTTGGTTACTTGAGTCCACCCCTATGAGTGGTGGGAGGGTGAAGTAGGAGCCTTCTAAGGGGCAAGGATTAGCTACTCTGGATTAAAGATACAGCATGGGGAGCTCACAAGTAGAGCTACCACAAGTAAGTGGGTAACTGAGAAATGGCTGCATCTAGTTAACAATCATAGAGATGTATGGTGCTGTTCTTATTCTGTTCAGCTGAGATGTAGGAAAACTCATTCATAGTCTTTGGGATTGACCTAGTTGACTTTGACTTTTAGGGGAATGAGAAAGAGAGCTTAGGACTTAGCTTCTTTGCCTAGTGCCAAAATACAGCTTTACCATTTGATTATATTTATTTGTTTTTAAGTCTATAAAGGATTCAGATGTAATCCACTCTGTGTTATAATATGGGTTTCCATCTTTGGGATTCCCATCTCAAAGGTCTCCCCTTAACATTGTATTAGTGAAGATAGATGTGCTGGCCATTTCCCAGAAGTTAAGAGGGAAAGCGTGCATGTAGTGGGAAATTACATTAAATAAAAAGATTTTTCATTTCTGTAGGACTCTGAAAATCAGAAATCTCTTTCCTCATAACAATTCTATTAGGTCAGCAGTGTCAGTATCTTTATCCCAATTTTGCAGATGAGGAAAGTAAGGCTCAGACAGTAAAGCATAATGATTTGCCTGTGATCATATAGCTACTAAGAGTCAGAATTGGAATTCAAATTCACATCTGCCAGCTCCCAAGTCAGCATGCTTTACATCTTAAAACACTGCCTCTCAAAAAAAATGAGTCGGTAGGGAATTAGCCAACTGACCTAAAAGATGTATCAATTTAGGTCAGGTTCAGGCTGCAGAGTACTTTAATTGGATATTCCAGTTCAATAGTTTTAGGTAATGTCAGTTTGAACTGGTTCACATTTACTCTTAAAAAATTAGGGAAACAATATTACGACTTGAATTTGGTTTGCAGTTTGGCCAAATTAATGCTGGCTGTTTGTTTCTGGTTCACAGTTCAGCTCAGTTGCATACTTACTGAGAATAAGGACTCAGGTTCTCATCATCATGCAATGTTGCTGTTATGCAGCCTTGGAAAGTCACTCCTTTCCCCACATCTGTAGGCTATCTATCCTTTGAAAACTTCAGGCAGAAGTCATGACCTAAGTGGTTTACATTCCTGGATCTTCTTTCCTTGATGTCCTACCCCAAGTCTAGGTCTCTTTTCTCACAAATCTCCCCCAAATTTTAGATTGATAGCTGTACATATATTTGCAGTCTCCTCACTCCACACACATACACTAAGGATTATGCAGTATCTAATGGGGAAACAAGAGAAAAAATGGGGAAATAGCCTTTTGGAAAATCCAAAGGCCTGAAATGTGGCCTTCAGTTTTCTGCCACCAGAAGTCCTACAGATTAGTAACATCATATTCCTGCTCTATTGGGGACTTCCCACTACAAAACAAAAGGAAAAAAAAAAAAGAATCACAACAGAACCTTGAAATGTTTTCCTGAACATTTGAATTACTATAAGTGGGAGCCCAGGCAACTCTGTTCCCAAATGATAATGATGACAATAGATATGGTAGTCAGCACAGGAAGTGAATAACTTTCTGGATTATGAATTTTTTTTTCATTTTTGTTTTTATGCTAAAATATATTAAAGGAAACAAAATATATAGCTTTTGTTTGAACATTCAGAAATTTAATTCCCCAGCCTGGGTCACGGTCATACTGATCTGGTGGAGAGGTGTTCCATATTCCCTTGGTTGCTTCCAGTCAGCTTAAAAGGTGGAGAATTGGTTCATTCACTAAAGACATAGGCACGCATCATGAATGCCATGGTTAGCTGGCAGGGACAACCTACACCTATGAACATAAGAATTGCTTTCCTAGGTAAACACTGAGGCCAATCAATCCTAGGATTCTTTCTTGACAGGGGCATCAACAAAGGGTTTTAGGGGAAATCAGATACCATTCTCTAGAGATTCAAAGTATGTCTCCCAAGGAATTCATTATGGACCTATCATTTGTAGTGCCTCAATTAATACCACTAAATCACAGTGCCTCCTCATGAAAGTAACTTGAGTTTCAGGGGTAGAGTTTTTCAGTTACAAAATAAAGTTCATAGGATATTCCTAGAAGACAGGAGTTGAAGCAGAGAAGGATTATTTATTTCTTCAGTTCCTTAAGGTAGATGTCAAGAATGGCTCAAAGACTGAACCCTTAGAGTTTAGCCATGGTTTGGAAATCTATATCCATAGTTAAAGGTAAGGGCAAGCAGTGTCAACGGGAGTATGTGACACCATTATGGTAGCTGAGTAGTAAGACTTTGTAATTAAGATTTATGCTGAAAGTGGTATGAAAAGTCAAAATCACAGTAACTCTTAGAATACCACTTACTCTTCCTTCCCTCAGCTGGTTATTAGTATGGGAAGCTAGAGATCTTCAGTGTTATGATTCAAGAGCTGTTGCATTCAAATGGCCAAGATGTCTTACCTGTGAGAAAAAAAAAAGGCAAAACAAAGTAGTGAAACGGAAGAGGAGTGAGGGCATCATTTATTTTTGTCTAGTTGCTTGCCAAAGGGGATTTATTCAGCTGCTTTGCTTTGATTACAGTAATCACTCTTCGGAGAGTGGGACATGAAAAGGAAAGGACATTTGGAGGAATGGATGAGAACAAAACCTCAATGGATGTATAATATCTGATAGAAGAAGGGGGGGCAGATTAGTTAAAAGAAAGCCTTTTATTTTTCTGTAGCCATCTGTAATTCTTCAGTCTCTAGATGGTTTAAACAAAGAAAAGAAGTAGTCCTAGCTTAGAAGTTCTATCATGCCAAGTCATCTCTAGAAAATGAACTCTCCAAGGCTAGATCACTTACCTGGGAGGTGACTTGTATCTCCAGTATAGATAGATGAGTAATCTCTCTTTGACCAGTGGAAATCATTCCACACTGGTGGATTTGTGGTCACTGATGAGGGTATACAGTAACTGGGTTTGCAGTAATCTTTCAGGGTTTGCCTTACACTCAGAAGCTTTGTAGAGAGGAGTTTCTTTGTTTACATAAGTAATATTCTACTTAGTTTTTACTGCCTTTTTATAATAAAGGTTCCCTGTAATATGGGTACCTCTGCCTATTGTATATTGCACTTTTGATATTTTTGCAGGCCCTTCTCCATTGCCTCCATTTTTTTTTGTTGTTGTTGTAAAGGGACAAATGCTTTTAAAATCAGAAAATTAGCTATTAGACAATCATTTGGTCTCACAGAGGCCATCTCTACACCATGAACCTATTGTAAAATCTGTAAGCCTTCCAATTAAAAAACATGTGATCAAGAAGAATGGAGTATTGCCAACTAAAGCCAGATACACCATATTCTATAGTCCCATTGATGCCTTAACCTCTCAAAGAGACCTCCTGGGCTCGCTCTGTGTTTTCTCTTCTCAAGAAATCAGTGTACGTATCTAGCTTGAGTAATCAGGAACTGAAGAAATCTACCAAAGAGGTTATTTCATAGGAAAGAAGTCACTCCCAGGTCAATTCTCTTAGATAACTTTTAGAAGGAGTGGCATACTTCATGCTAAATTCAAGATAAAGGTGCCCCATTTGTCACTCCAATTGTCTCCAAAGTGATTATAAATATATTGAGCAAAGAGATTTGATTTCTCCAAGCTGTACCCAAGACTTAAATCCACCATTCTAGCATTTTCCTTTTGCAGTTGTTTAATGAGAGAGAGACAGAGAGAGAGAGAGAGAGAGAGAGAGAGAGAGAGAGAGAGAGAAGAGAGGGAGAGAAAGAAAGAAAGAGAAAGAAGAAAAAGAATTCAATTAACCCCATGTTCCAATTTTTTTTTTTGTTAAGGAATCTGAGAGTAAAATATCTACATATGAATGCAAATAATGGGCTTGACTGACCCTGTTCTTACAAAACTTTGGTGTGTGTGGTGTATGCTGTTGTTGTATATGCTTAAGATGTTGAAAGCTCTGGTGAATGCAGCCTCTTCTGAGATGTCTGCCTCCTTTCCTCAATCTATGTGCTTTAATGTAAATAAAGACTGTTTCAAGTGATTTCTTCTCTATGTCATGGGTTGTTCTAATATGATATGAATTACCATGTCTGCCCAAGATTTACTTTAAAACCTGGTTTCCATGAAGGAAATGAAGATAGAACAATAAAGGATATCTTCTATGCCATCTATATTTTTTTCTTCTTTTATGATTGTACTTCAGTGTTTCTTAATTCTTTCAGCTTAACAAATCATTTCATTAATATATTTGATTTTTATGTCACCTATGCTTCCTAATGTATTCTTGCCTCCTCTTTTAGAGCTATTCCTTATAATAAAGAATAAAAAGGAGAAAAAATCAGCTCATCAAAACTAGCCAACAAATTGAAAGAATTTGACGTTATAGGCAGTACAGTGCTTCACCTCTGACAAGAATAGGGGGTACCTTCTCAAATCTTCTTTGTGATTGAACTTGGCCATTATAATTTGCAGCATTAAATTTCAATTGTTTTTCTGTCATTGTTCTTTTTTCCCCATTGATTTAGTCATTGTGTATATGTTTTCCTGGTTGTTCTTACTTTACTTTGCACCAGTTCATATATCTTCCCTTACTGCAGTAATCACATTCATAATTTATTTCATCACATAATGCCTTTCTATTACATTTATGCATCAATACATGTGTAATCATGTCCCAAACAATAGGCATCCACTTTGTTTACAATTCTGTTCTGCTATTAAAAAAATAGTGTTTTAAGTGTCTCTATCTCCAGTGTCAAGTATTTTTCAGTATTTGATCATAGTAATTTGCTTATGAATATTGGAATGCCAGGATCTCAGAAAAATAAAAAAAAATGGGTATCCTAAGTAGGCTGCAGCATATTACCAATGATGGATGACTTATATAAGAGATTGCATTGGGGCAGCTAGGTGGCGCAGTGGATAGAGCACCAGCCCTGGATTCAGGAGGACCTGAGTTCAAATCTGGCCTCAGATACATAATACTTACCAGCTGTGTGACCCTGGGCAAGTCACTTAACCCCGGGCAAGTCACTTAACCCCATTGCCTAGCCAAAAAAAAAAGTAAAAAAAAAATGAAAGATTGTATTACCAAAGAAATCATTGAGGACATATATGACCAGAAAAATGCTGGTCATGTAGCTGGTCACACAGTATTACATCAGAACAAGATCTAGAGAAAGGCCTTCTCCATTGAGTATATTCTCTGTGTTAGATTTATAGAAGAACATGAAAAAGAATTACATGGGTTTCAGCTGTATGAACAGATTGTGATCTCTGTTCATAGAAGGAAGGCCCATACAAATTTGATCATAGATCTACTGGAACATCAAAGTATTTTTTGTTTTTCTTTTTCAAGCTGAAAGTAAAAGATCATCTGAGTCCTTACTCCATCATTTTTCAAATCAGAAAACTAACACTGACGGAGGGGAATAGATTTACTTGGGTCACAAGATTAACTGAGCTGATTTTTAGTCTATTCCCTTCTCCTCTACACAGCACTACTCCTATTAAATTATGTTTAAAACAACTTCATTTTTCCTACCATCATCAACCTTATTTTTTAAATCATATTATGGTTTTCATACTGTCTTCATTTAAATTGGCTCATTTGTCTGGAAACACGTCAGCAAAATAGATAGGGAAGTCAGTATCATGTCCATTTGATGGATGAGGAAACTTAGCTCAAAGAAACTGAATGTCTTACGCAAAGTTATAGAGATACTATGGATTAGAATTCAAGTCCTTCTTATCTTTCCAGTCTTCTTATACTTTCCTATATTCTACATACTCTGATCCAGCTATATTGGCCTCTTTCCCATTCCTCACACATGACATTCAGTTTTCCAACTCTGTGCTTTTGCATTGGCTGTTTCCTATGGCTTTGGAAGATCATGGAGAATAAGAGGGGTTTTGTAACTTTGGAGAAGGGGAGATGCTGCCCCAATTTTCAAAAAAGAGGAAGAGAATGGAGTCTACAAACTACATGCTAATGAATTTGATTTAAGTTTCTTCAAAAATTCTATACTATGCTATAAAAGAGGTGGCTAATTAACAAGTGAAAAGGAAAGTAGTAATTATAAAGAGCCGGAATGGCTTCATTAAGTAAAAAGTGATACTGAACTGATCTATATCTTTTTGACAGAGTTGAAATGCTGAAATATCATGGGAATATTGTAAATATATTTTTGCTTTGATTTTAGTGAAGCATTTGATAAGGACTCTAGTGATTTTTTGTGTATAAGAAATATAGGTCAGATAATAATACAGTTGTGTAGATTCAGAACTATTTGAATGGACCTAAAAAGTAGTCATTAATGGGTGACTATCAACTGGAGGGATGTCTCTAGTTTAAGAGGAGTCCTTGGCACTGAACTATGGTACATTAATAAACTTGGATAAGGGCATAAAATTTACAGGGACACAAAGCTGGGAGATCCAGCTAACTCATCAAATGCCAAAGATAGGATCTAGGCAGAAGATGTTTGAGAATGACAGAATTTAAGAGAGCCATGTAAAGTCTTGCACTTGTATTTTTTTTAACAACTTTGTAAGTAGGAAGAAAGGATATTTTTATGGGCAGCAGTTTACCTAAAAAACACCTGTTTTGTTTTGTTTTGTTTTGTTTTTTGTGAATAACTGGTGGCCAAAACAGCTGCTGTAATCTTATGCTATATGGAGAGACATAATGTTTACAACACAAGAGGTAAATATTCTATTTTATTATGCCCTGGTCAGGTCACATCAGGCATACTGTTTTCAGTTCTGCATACCATGTTTTAGAATGGTCATTGACAAGCTGGACAATATCCACAGGAAGACAATCAGAATGCTGAAGGTCTTCAAGATCATGTCATACAAGAACTAGTTAGAAGAGTAAGGAATATTTAGGCCAGAGAAAAGAAGCCATGATATATGTCTTTACATATTTGAAGGGATCACACGTGTAAGATGGATTCAGCACTCTACTTGGTTCTAGAGTGTAGAACTAGGAGCAATGGGTGGAGGTTGCAGAAAGTTATATTTGTATTCTCTATAAGAAAAATTTCCTAAATGTCAGAGCCATCTAAAATTGCAATTGGATGCTCCAGCTCATAGTAGATTTCCTTTCCCTGGAGGTCTTCAAGTAAAGACTGAATAAACTGTTTATTAGTAATGGTGTAGACAGGATTACTATAAAGGTAAAAGTTAAATTAGTTGGCCTCTGGTTGTCCCTTCTGCTTCTTAGGTTTTAACAGTCTCTATCAGAATTCACCACTTGAAAGAGGCAGAGCCAAGATGGTGTAGTAAAGGCAGGGACTTGCCTGAGCTCTCCTCTAATCCTTCCAAATCCCTTTAAAAATGAACCTAAACAAATTCTAGAGTGGCAGAATCCACAAAAAGATAGAGTGGAACAAATTTCCAGCCAAATACAATTTGGAAGGTTGGCAGGAAAGGTCTGTTGAACCAGGATAAGAGAGGAGCACCATTCCCCATAGGCCATGCTAGTCCAGACCTGACTCAGCAAATCAAGAGCAAGACTCAGGGCAACTGAATCACTGGTGGCAGTGGTGGTTTCCGTACCTCTCAGACAATAGATCTCAAAGACAACTTAGAAGGTCAGCAGGAAAGCTCTGTCAGACATGAATGAGAATAGAGCACAGTTTAGTGCAGGGTGTTGAAGCAAAGCCCCATACATGGCAAACTAGGAGCAAGCCTTGGGAGACACTGAATCAGCACTAGCAGTGGCTGCTTCCAGAGCTGTAATCCCATAGATGTAATGGGTATCCAACAACTGGTGAGAAAAAGATTAGTTTTGTTTTGTTTTGCTTTTTTGCACTAGTACTGAAGCAGAACTCTTGCTTTGCTGATGCCCAGATCCAAGTTGCAGGCCTAGGTGGGAGTCCCAGGGCAAGGAGGAGTACCAGCATGGGAGAGCTTATGGCCACAGTGCAGGGGAGACTTTCATCACAGTTTCAGGGCAGAAAAGAGATTGTGGTCACTCACAGGCCAGGAGAGTAGTAAACACACCTCTCCTTAGATCATACCACCTTGGAAGAACTGAAAACTTACAGGTTCCTAGAAGTATTCTGAAAACAACTGCAAGAGACACCTGAAGTTTGGGATAGTGTGCCCTCCACCCTGGAAGCAGAGCCCTACCTTAACAAAGAGTTAAAAGTCAAAAAATAGGCTGAGGAAATGATCAAACAACAGAAAAGAAACCTCTGATTATAGAAAGTTATTATGAGGGGGGCAGAGCCAAGAAGGCAGAGTAAAAGCAGTGATTTGCTTGAGCTCTCTCCTTTCCACATACCTATAAAAATGGCTCTTAAATTCTAGAACAATAGAATCCACAGAAAGACAGAGCGAAACAAATTTTCTGCCTAAGACAACCTGGATGGTTGATTGGAAAGGCCTGTGGCACTGGACTGTGAGAGGAACACAGTTCACTGTGGGCATGCAGGCAAAGACTAAGCCTTAGAGAACCTGGAATAGGCCTCAGGGGACTGAATTATACACAGCTGTGGTAGTTTTCAGACTTCTCAAACAAATGCCAAAGACAACTTAGAAGATCAGTAGGAAAGGTCTGTGACCATGGTGAGAGAGAAGCTTGGTCCCAGCTCCAGTCCCAGTGCAGCCCTGGGGTGGTGGTTCTTCTGGAGCTCTTGGCCTACAGACTAAGGGGAAATCGAGAGGTTGATCAGAGGGGGACTGCAGGGATCTCTTTGCTGGTGCTGAGGCAGGATTCTCTTGCTTTGCCCAAGCTTGGATCTGGGTCACATGTCTGAGTGGTAGTCCTAGGGCAAGAAGGAGAGCTGGTGTGGTAGAGCTTGTGGTGGCAGTGCAGAGAGAATCATCCTCACAGTTCCAAGGCAGAAAAGAATGCTTGTGGTCACTCATAGACCACAGCATCGGCCAGGAAAGGAGCAAACACCTTGCCTTTGATCATACTACCTTGGAAGAACTGAAAATTGATAGATCTCTAGAAGTATCTCTGAAAATAGCTGCACAAGGCCCCTGAAATTTGGGACAGCACGTTCTCCATATTGGAAGCAGATCTCTACTTTAACAAAGAGTTTAAAATTCAAGTAATTGGCTGGGATCATGAACAAAGAGCACAAAAAAATGCCTCAGACCATAGAATCTTACTTTAGTGACAAAGAAGGTGAAAACATACAACCAGAAGAA